CAAACAAAAATAAAAAAAAAGGAGAAAGTGGGGGGGGGGGGGTGAGCAGTAGCTCATTATCATTTAAAGAGACATGCACCAAAACCGGTCGCTGTGAACAGAGCTGTCTTTGACATGGTAAAAATGTGTTGTTTTACACTATCATTGAACATTTCATGAAGACCCTAAAGAATCATCCTTTTCATAATCATACTTTTTCCACAGCCTGTGGAAAATGGGCATCCGATGTCCCCTTTAAGCACCTTTAAGGCCCTTTCACAACAACAATGACTATAACGATAAATATATTAGCATCCACATCAACCCAGAAGATATTTTGCTTATCGAAATGGATCAAATTAATTTGTGTTGGTCAGTTCTGATGTGGTGTGGGAAACCAAGCCTAAGAAGCGAAGCCGATGGAAGGTTTTGAGTGTTAAGGAGGCTACGATGTTGGAGCAGCGCTACAGAGATTATATGGAGAGCGGGCCAGTGGACAGCCTCATCATTGACCTAGAGAACGACTACCAGGTTAGTGCTCACAGGAACAAATTCACAGCGCTTAAAGGCAAGACGCCTTGTTTTAAAACAGTTGTCACCATCAGAAATGCTACTGTACCTTTAAGGCTTCTACATGGAAGGTATTCTTTTTGGTTGTCAACCAATATATCATTAGGGCTGAAATGTATTTCCTGCTATATGGCATGTTTTAATTCTTGCCGCTTTTCTGTTTGGCTGATATATTATATGATTGATTAGAGAATCAGGAAGTTGCTATGTAAAGTGTACATTTATTTATATTTAATCAAGTTCAAATGATTTTTTTCAGGCTAATTCATGTTCAGATTATTTCGAATTAAAATAAATGTTAAATTTTGCTTACAATTTTGTTATACATGTGATATTTACTATCTTTAAATGAAATTAAAGTTATTGAATAACTTGGGCTGCAACAAGGTCAGAAGGTCATTCTTGTTTTAATCCATCTCTGGCTGTACCGAATGTTCATCAGGTGTTGTTTGCTGCTAATGGGGTGGACTTGAGGATAATGCAGCCCTTTGATGCTCCGCTCAGGAGGAACTTCCTGCCAGCACTAAAGGTGGAGTACAGTGTCTCCGCCCGTCAGAAAACCTACAGAGTCCAGATCAACAGGATTCAGGTCAGTTTCACTCCTAATAAAGCAATCTAGCTTTAGACACATTATAAAAATATGAGTTATAAACGCGATCAGAACGACCACAGAGCCTATTCAACAATTGTGATGCACTAATTCACACATTTTTTTTATGGTCAGTGAACATGAAATTCCCCTGTTTACTCTTCAGATCCAAAATCAGTTGCCTGGAGCCATCTTCCCATTCGTCTTCTACCCCATCAAACCGCCCAAATCAGTCAGCATGGACTCAGGTCAGTCGATTCACTCAAAGGCCAATGCAAAATCATTTATGTATTTATTTATTTTATTTCCTGCCCGTTTCTTTGTGTCTAACCAATCTGGTATTGTTATGGTAAAGTATATTGCATTTGTGTATTAAAGAGCCGAAACCGCTCGCTGACGTCAGCATCATCACCAGAGCAGCCGGACACTCTGACATTCTGCGCATCAAGTAAGTTTCCTCCTCATACAATTTCTATCAGTCTCTTGCTCTCAAAACTGCAAAACATGCTTCATTTCTGCTTTACAGGTATTTTAAAGTGTTGATTCAGGAGATGGACCTGCGGGTAGATCTTGGGTTCCTGTATGCCATACTTGAGCTCTTCACTGCTGAGCACGCCAGTGCTGTCACGTCTGAACAGGAGGTACAGTAACACTCTACAGCACAAAGCTCTACATAGGCACCTGTTTGGTGGTGATTTGAGCAGCAACTCCACACACTATTGATACTTTTCAGTACTAAACAATATATTTATAATAGACTTTTACCTCTACTTCAGCCACACTCTTTTTGATTATATTTTATATTACATACACTACCATTCAACATTTGAAATCTGGGGCCAGTTGCATAAACTTAGCCACCATGTTAAGACTGTGTCTTAAGAACTAGTTTGACCAACTGGCAGTTCCCAAGGGTAACCAGTCTTACTCTTCCGATACTAACAAGACCAACCTACCTTTTCATAACTGAATTAAAAAAGTTATGACCAGTCTTGAAGAAAAAAAATTAGATGACTAACTTTTTAAGACTAGTCTAAACAGTTTATGCAATCGGCCTCCAGCTGAAAGATTTTTTTAATGAAATTAATACTTGGTAACACTGTATTTTAGGTATGAATTCTCACTATTAACTAGTTGCTTATTAGCATGCATATTACTAACATATTGGCTGTTTATTAGTATTTATAAAGCACATATTAATGGCTTATTCTGCATGACCATATTTTAGATCCCTTAATCTCTACCCCATACCTAAACTGAACAAATACCTTACTAACTAATAATAAGCATAAATATATATTTTGTTAATATTTTTATAAATGCAGTTCTTTTGAACTTTCTATTTATCAAAGAATCCTGAAAAAAAATGTAACCAGAAAATCTATCCACAAACACAACTGTTTTCAACATTGATGAGCAGCATATCAGAATAATTCCTAAAGGATCATGTGCCACTGAAGACTGGAGTAATGGTGCTGAAAATTCAGCTTTGCATCACAGGAATAAATTAAATTTGAAAATATATTCATATAGAAAACAATTATTTTGAATGAAAATAATATTTTACAATGTTACTGTTTTTACTGTATTTTTGATCAAATAAATGCACCTGGGTGAGCATTAGAGACTTAAACTCTTAAAGACCGCAAACCTTTGCGCAGTAATGTATTTGATCTGTTGTTGGATGTGTGTGGTGGTGTATTGCAGGTGGAGTTGTTTGAGAAGGACATTGAGTATCTGAAGACCGAGTTGAATCATAGTTCAGCTACAGACACGTCCCCCATCAGCCTGTACGAATACTTCCACATCTCTCCCATAAAGGTCAGTTACCGAAACCTCTGTCCAATCACTGTGACCACAGACCACACAGTGAACACAGGAATAGACATTCAATACTGATGCCAAACTTTGCTTCCTGAAGACAAATGTTCTTTTTAAAATCACCACGTTTTGAGTATTGAGTGTAACTGTTTTTGTGGGGCAGCTTCACTTGAGTTTCTCTCTGAGCACCGGTGGTGAAGACGGGAATAAGAAAGAGCGCGAGACAGAGATCATTCCCGTTCAGTCTCTCAACCTCCTGCTGAAGAGTATTGGAGCTACACTCACTGACGCTCAGGACGTCCTCTTCAAGTACTTACACTCACTACTCAGCACTCATTCTCACTGCGGCAGGAAATCCCTGTAGTTCCTCATTCCAGTCCGCCCTGCCAAACCCTCACTTCACACTTTGGGTGTTTCTGGATTTCACATGTGGTTAGATGCTGTCAACTCCACAAAACACACTCTTCACTTCCGTTTTCCTGCTGTCACACTGCACTCTAGTGGAAAGACCAAAACAAGCTAGAAATGCATGTCAAGGGAGCAAAACTATGCATATGCAATGAGGATTCATTATTAAACAAGCATTAAGTTATGTATATAAGTGTGACCCTGGAGCATAAAAGCAGTCTTAAGTCGCTGAGGTATATTTGTAGCAATAGCCAAAAATACATTGTATGGGTCAAAATGATCCATTTTTCTTTTATGCCAAAAATCATTAGGATATTAAGTAAAGATCATGTTCCATGAAGATATTTTGTACATTTCCTACCATAAATATATCAAAACTTAATTTTTGATTAGTAATATGCATTGCTAAGAACTTCATTTGGACAACTTTAAAGGTGATTTTCTCAATATTTAGATTTTTTTGCACCCTCAGATTCCAGATTTTCAAATAGCTGTATCTCAGCCAAATATTGTCCTATCATAACAAATACATACATCAATGGAAAGCTTTTTATTTATTCAGCATTCAGATGATGTAAAAATCTCAATTTTGAAAAATGTACCCTTATGACTGGTTTTGTGATCCAGGGTCACATATTATATGTGTATTGTATTCAAGTATTATTTATTTACTATTATACTTTTTTATATTTTGAAATAATTATTTATATATTTTCAGCATTTTAGTTTTTAGCAATTTTGGTGCTTTTGTCATTTTTATTTAGATTTTTTTTTTTAAATGTTACTATTTCGTTTTTTTTTTTTCTATTTAGTATTACTTTGTTGTTTTAGTTATAGTTTTTATTTATTTCCACCTAGTAATTTTAGTGCTTTCAGTATTTCGCTTAATTGCCAAGGCAGTTTTTCATATCATATATTTTATTTCAGCTTTATTTAAGTTAACACATTTTTTTTTCTTTTAGTCAATTTAGTTCTTTTTTTAGTTTTAATGATAATAATGCTGAGCTGCTTAATATGTTTTAAAATGTGCATGTGAAATGCAAGATGTAGAAGTTTAATAATAAATGGCTTGTCAAATTGTTATATAGCCTTAAGTACTATCCAGTTATCTTCTCAGAAATTAATATGGTAACTTTTGTTGGTAGTGCACGCTTGTAAAATTAGAAAGGCAAGATCAAAGTGTAGTGTGGTTTGATTCTGTACTGCATATTTTGGCAAAAGTAGTAGGTTTAGTTAGTGGATATTCCATGCATACAGAATTAATAAACCGTGTACAGTATGCACATATTATTATGAGTAGTATGCCACAGTATACATACAAGGTCTCATATTTGATGGTGAATTGTATATTTATGACCTAGAACTCTTAATTTCTTAGAAATGTTTACATTTGCGTCCTGTCTTTCTCCAGACTTGCGTTTTGTGAGCTGACGTACCAGTTCCGCACCACTCAGCAGCTGCAGTCGGAGGTCATCCGCCATTATTCCAAACAGGTGACCTTTCACCTTTAACTTTCCCCATCTACTGCTGATTTCTGTGTGTTTTATGCATACACATCATGACTACCTGTTTTTTTTACCTATGTCTGTGCTTGTGTGTTGTTTGTTTCAGGCTATCAAGCAGATGTATGTTCTGGTTTTGGGTTTAGATGTCCTCGGGAATCCTTTCGGACTGATCCGCGGTCTGTCTGAAGGCGTCGAGGCCTTCTTTTATGAGCCTTATCAGGTGAAACTTCAGCTCTTTTGATAGGATTGATAAGATGCGAAATTTGTGGTCCTCTAAACTGTTTTCAAAATTAAATTAGTTACAAACACAAATGTACAGAAAAATCTGTAATAGTATCTCCGTGATATTAAAATAGCACTGAATGTTTGTTTGTCAGGGTGCCATACAGGGACCAGAGGAGTTTATCGAAGGCATGGCACTCGGTGTGAAGGCTCTGGTTGGAGGAGCTGTGGGTACGTACTCTATTTTTGCTATATTCTGTAATACACTAATGTTGTGAGTGATCTATGCAGTTATGAACTCTCCTCTTAAAATCCAATCAAAAGTTGTCACGTGAGGCTTATATCAAGTATAAACAGCAATCTTGTTCCACTCAAATTCTGAGCCGTCCATCTCTTGTCGTCTCAGGCGGCCTGGCCGGAGCGGCGTCTCGGATCACGGGAGCGATGGCTAAAGGTGTGGCCGCCATGACCATGGATGAGGAGTATCAGCAGAAGAGACGCGAGGCTATGAACAAGCAGCCCAGCGGACTGAGAGAAGGCCTGACACGAGGAGGGAAGGGACTCGTCTCTGTGAGTTTACAAAACACAGCAGACAGAAACGTTTAAAGCTATATCCCAAATCAAAAATTCCCTTTTTGTCAGCTGAACCCCTTTGACCTAAAGTATTTTTTGAAGTATATTTTAAAGGGATAGTTCATCCAAAAATAAAAAAATTCTGTCATTTACTCAGCCTCATGTTGTTCTGAATGGCTTTGTTTCCTGTGCATCATAAATGAAGATATTTGAAAGAATTTTGGTAACTAAAGCATTTCGGTTCCCATTGACTTCCACTGTATTTGGAAGTCGTAAGTAAGTCATAAGTTCCCATAAGTAAATGGGAACCGAAACTTGTTTGATTACCGACATTCTTCAGAATATCTTCTTTTATGATGCACAGAAGAAAAGATGTAATTCTGATTTGAAATGACACAAAATGGAGTAAATGTATTCCTTAGTTGAGATTTCAGTAAGTTAACAACACACTCGCATGCAACATGCGGCTACAAAAATACGTATTTTTAAGTTTTTGCTTTTTTATTTAAAATTATTTTCTTTATTTTACATTTTCTTTAACAAAAGAAACATGTATCATGCATACTTTTATTTTCCCACCATTGGAACAATTATATGCTACAAAAAAAAAAAAGAACCAAAAAAAATAAATATATATATATTAAAGCCGCTTTTTTAATATATATTCAGTGCTTTACTCCTCTGCCACATTAATGTCTTAATAATGTGATTACTTATGGTTAATTCAGTTAATTGATCAGCATATCATGTAATTAATTTGATAAAAATGTTTGATTGTCATCTGACAAGTCTACAATCTATATTTTGCATTCAGTAGAGTATTTTTATATTAGTTTTTTGTGGGAAGTCATTCTGTAAATATGAACTTTTCTTCATATCACACAGGGGTTTGTGAGCGGCATCACGGGCATTGTGACTAAACCCATTAAAGGTATAACCACTGATCATCTGCACTTCTTTCTAACATTTCAGTGTTGAAAATCCAGCTTACCTGTGTGTTCAGTGTAATAGGCATGTCATGAGTGTGTGTGTTGCTGTAGGAGCTCAGAAGGAAGGAGCGGCGGGTTTCTTTAAGGGTGTGGGCAAAGGTTTGGTCGGAGCTCTGACCAGACCAACAGGGGGCATCATTGACATGGCCAGCAGCACCTTCCAAGGCATCAAAAGGTCTGAATATGTCTCTGTGTCTGTGTGCATTGTTTGGGAAAGAGTCTTTGTCATTCTATGATTGTGATGGATTTTCTGGCTTGATCTGAATGCAGAGCTGCGGAGACGTCTCAGGATGTGGAGAGTTTACGTCCTCCTCGTTTCATCCATGAGGATGGAGTCATCCGGCCGTATAAGGAGAGAGAGGGCATAGGCAGCCAGATGCTGCAGGTGACGCATGACACTTCACTTCCTGCCGTCACACCCCTGGTGTTCAAGATAATGGTGTTAAAAATGTTTTAAAGACAAAAATAATAGGAATGGGCATGATAATAGGCAATGGAAATGGGTAGTTGACATGACATCCTCAGCAGTGACAACAGTCTCCTACAGTACAATTTAAAATACTCGTATACTCTACCGTTTAAATGTTTGGGGTCATTAGTCTCACCAAAGCTGCATTTATATAATCAAAAATAGAGTAAAAACTGCAATATTGTGAAATATTATTACAGTTTGAAACAACTGTTTTCTATTTGAAAATATTTTCAGATGCAATTTATTCCTGAAACAAATTGAATTAATTTTCAGCATCATTACTCCAGTCTTCAGTGTCACATGATCCTTCAAAAATCTGTATAATATGCTGACTTGCTGCTCAAAAACAATTTTTTTCCCCTTATTATTATCAGTGTTGAAAACAGTTGTGCTGCTTCATATTTTTGAGGAAACTATGATACGCTTTTGACAGTTTTGATCAATTTAATGCATTGTTGCTGATTAAAAGTAATGATAAAAAAAACAAAATTTAATCATAAAAGACTTAAATGGAAAATTAATTATTAGTAATATATCCATGTCAGCTACCCAGATACATATATACATAACACACACTACATATTATACATATATTTCTGATTTACTTGCAGTTGTTTCTTGCTCCAGAATTCTATGCCATTATCTTAAACACTCACTGTTGTCATTAAACAACCAGTTTAGACCAACATGAATATTCATGCTTGTCCAGGCTGGTTTATGCTGGTTTTATGTTAGTCTAGATTGTAGGCCAGCAAACCATAGCTGGTAAAGCTGGTCAACCTGACCAGTCTTTCTGATGAACTGGTTGACCAAGGAAGTCTTGCTGGTTAAACTAGATAAGTACCATCTCAACCCAGCATCCAAAACACAACAGGAACCAAATAGACCAACAAGGGCCAAGGGTTTGAAATTCTATCTTCAGATATGAAGGAGATGTTAATAGCTTAAATGATTTAAGTTGAAATAATTACACGCTGGCTGAATTCTACAGGATATATATGTGTAAGACTTCAAATTTCAAAGTTAATTAATGTTTTGATATATATATATATATATATATTAGTCTCACCAAAGCTGCATTTATATAATCAAAAATAGAGTAAAAACTGCAATATTGTGAAATATTATTACAGTTTGAAACAACTGTTTTCTATTTGAAAATATTTTCAGATGCAATTTATTCCTGAAACAAATTGAATTAATTTTCAGCATCATTACTCCAGTCTTCAGTGTCACATGATCCTTCAAAAATCTGTATAATATGCTGACTTGCTGCTCAAAAACAATTTTTTTCCCCTTATTATTATCAGTGTTGAAAACAGTTGTGCTGCTTCATATTTTTGAGGAAACTATGATACGCTTTTGACAGTTTTGATCAATTTAATGCATTGTTGCTGATTAAAAGTAATGATAAAAAAAACAAAATTTAATCATAAAAGACTTAAATGGAAAATTAATTATTAGTAATATATCCATGTCAGCTACCCAGATACATATATACATAACACACACTACATATTATACATATATTTCTGATTTACTTGCAGTTGTTTCTTGCTCCAGAATTCTATGCCATTATCTTAAACACTCACTGTTGTCATTAAACAACCAGTTTAGACCAACATGAATATTCATGCTTGTCCAGGCTGGTTTATGCTGGTTTTATGTTAGTCTAGATTGTAGGCCAGCAAACCATAGCTGGTAAAGCTGGTCAACCTGACCAGTCTTTCTGATGAACTGGTTGACCAAGGAAGTCTTGCTGGTTAAACTAGATAAGTACCATCTCAACCCAGCATCCAAAACACAACAGGAACCAAATAGACCAACAAGGGCCAAGGGTTTGAAATTCTATCTTCAGATATGAAGGAGATGTTAATAGCTTAAATGATTTAAGTTGAAATAATTACACGCTGGCTGAATTCTACAGGATATATATGTGTAAGACTTCAAATTTCAAAGTTAATTAATGTTTTGATATATATATATATATATATCAAAACATTAATTAATATATATATATAGTATTATACATTTCTATTCATAAATGGTATAAAAACAGTAAACTAAAATCTAAAAACAAACAGTCATATAAAACAATAATTAATAAAATATTCATTTAACTTGAATTAAGTTAAAAGAATCAATTCAGTATGTTGTCCACATAGTACTATTATGTAATTCATTATGTAAAACTACTAATTATGTAATTCCCACCAGTCATTGACCTAACAAACGCATGGTTTTGTGATGTGTTGTGTAGCTGTATAATATGCTGACTTGCTGCTCAAAAACAATTTTTTTCCCCTTATTATTATCAGTGTTGAAAACAGTTGTGCTGCTTCATATTTTTGAGGAAACTATGATACGCTTTTGACAGTTTTGATCAATTTAATGCATTGTTGCTGATTAAAAGTAATGATAAAAAAAACAAAATTTAATCATAAAAGACTTAAATGGAAAATTAATTATTAGTAATATATCCATGTCAGCTACCCAGATACATATATACATAACACACACTACATATTATACATATATTTCTGATTTACTTGCAGTTGTTTCTTGCTCCAGAATTCTATGCCATTATCTTAAACACTCACTGTTGTCATTAAACAACCAGTTTAGACCAACATGAATATTCATGCTTGTCCAGGCTGGTTTATGCTGGTTTTATGTTAGTCTAGATTGTAGGCCAGCAAACCATAGCTGGTAAAGCTGGTCAACCTGACCAGTCTTTCTGATGAACTGGTTGACCAAGGAAGTCTTGCTGGTTAAACTAGATAAGTACCATCTCAACCCAGCATCCAAAACACAACAGGAACCAAATAGACCAACAAGGGCCAAGGGTTTGAAATTCTATCTTCAGATATGAAGGAGATGTTAATAGCTTAAATGATTTAAGTTGAAATAATTACACGCTGGCTGAATTCTACAGGATATATATGTGTAAGACTTCAAATTTCAAAGTTAATTAATGTTTTGATATATATATATATATATATCAAAACATTAATTAACTTTGAAATTTGAAGTCTTACACATATATATCCTGTAGAATTCAGCCAGCGTGTAATTATTTCAACTTAAATCATTTAAGCTATTAACATCTCCTTCATATCTGAAGATAGAATTTCAAACCCTTGGCCCTTGTTGGTCTATTTGGTTCCTGTTGTGTTTTGGATGCTGGGTTGAGATGGTACTTATCTAGTTTAACCAGCAAGACTTCCTTGGTCAACCAGTTCATCAGAAAGACTGGTCAGGTTGACCAGCTTTACCAGCTATGGTTTGCTGGCCTACAATCTAGACTAACATAAAACCAGCATAAACCAGCCTGGACAAGCATGAATATTCATGTTGGTCTAAACTGGTTGTTTAATGACAACAGTGAGTGTTTAAGATAATGGCATAGAATTCTGGAGCAAGAAACAACTGCAAGTAAATCAGAAATATATGTATAATATGTAGTGTGTGTTATGTATATATGTATCTGGGTAGCTGACATGGATATATTACTAATAATTAATTTTCCATTTAAGTCTTTTATGATTAAATTTTGTTTTTTTTATCATTACTTTTAATCAGCAACAATGCATTAAATTGATCAAAACTGTCAAAAGCGTATCATAGTTTCCTCAAAAATATGAAGCAGCACAACTGTTTTCAACACTGATAATAATAAGGGGAAAAAAATTGTTTTTGAGCAGCAAGTCAGCATATTATACAGATTTTTGAAGGATCATGTGACACTGAAGACTGGAGTAATGATGCTGAAAATTAATTCAATTTGTTTCAGGAATAAATTGCATCTGAAAATATTTTCAAATAGAAAACAGTTGTTTCAAACTGTAATAATATTTCACAATATTGCAGTTTTTACTCTATTTTTGATTATATAAATGCAGCTTTGGTGAGACTAATGACCCCAAACATTTAAACGGTAGAGTATACGAGTATTTTAAATTGACAACAGTCTCCTACAGTACAATTTAAAATACTCGTATACTCTACCGTTTAAATGTTTGGGGTCATTAGTCTCACCAAAGCTGCATTTATATAATCAAAAATAGAGTAAAAACTGCAATATTGTGAAATATTATTACAGTTTGAAACAACTGTTTTCTATTTGAAAATATTTTCAGATGCAATTTATTCCTGAAACAAATTGAATTAATTTTCAGCATCATTACTCCAGTCTTCAGTGTCACATGATCCTTCAAAAATCTGTATAATATGCTGACTTGCTGCTCAAAAACAATTTTTTTCCCCTTATTATTATCAGTGTTGAAAACAGTTGTGCTGCTTCATATTTTTGAGGAAACTATGATACGCTTTTGACAGTTTTGATCAATTTAATGCATTGTTGCTGATTAAAAGTAATGATAAAAAAAACAAAATTTAATCATAAAAGACTTAAATGGAAAATTAATTATTAGTAATATATCCATGTCAGCTACCCAGATACATATATACATAACACACACTACATATTATACATATATTTCTGATTTACTTGCAGTTGTTTCTTGCTCCAGAATTCTATGCCATTATCTTAAACACTCACTGTTGTCATTAAACAACCAGTTTAGACCAACATGAATATTCATGCTTGTCCAGGCTGGTTTATGCTGGTTTTATGTTAGTCTAGATTGTAGGCCAGCAAACCATAGCTGGTAAAGCTGGTCAACCTGACCAGTCTTTCTGATGAACTGGTTGACCAAGGAAGTCTTGCTGGTTAAACTAGATAAGTACCATCTCAACCCAGCATCCAAAACACAACAGGAACCAAATAGACCAACAAGGGCCAAGGGTTTGAAATTCTATCTTCAGATATGAAGGAGATGTTAATAGCTTAAATGATTTAAGTTGAAATAATTACACGCTGGCTGAATTCTACAGGATATATATGTGTAAGACTTCAAATTTCAAAGTTAATTAATGTTTTGATATATATATATATATATATCAAAACATTAATTAATATATATATATAGTATTATACATTTCTATTCATAAATGGTATAAAAACAGTAAACTAAAATCTAAAAACAAACAGTCATATAAAACAATAATTAATAAAATATTCATTTAACTTGAATTAAGTTAAAAGAATCAATTCAGTATGTTGTCCACATAGTACTATTATGTAATTCATTATGTAAAACTACTAATTATGTAATTCCCACCAGTCATTGACCTAACAAACGCATGGTTTTGTGATGTGTTGTGTAGCTTGTGACTTCAGGAGTTGCGGACATTAGCTCAGTAGTGCAAGATGTACTAGTATTGGTAGTATTAGTATTTCTGGAGTAGTGCACAGGCCGTCACACAGCCGTGTGAATGTGCGGCTCTCACTGACTGCAGCTCTCCTCTCTTGTCATGTTCACAGAGCAGAACGGCCCTCTCTCAGATGAATAGCACTGACACTGATGAGGATGAGGAAAATGTGTCCTTTTCATTATAGAATAGAAGTGCTTTTCATTAAATCTTCAGTCTGTTTGTGTAACTTGCATCTAAAATCAGAATAATTTACTATGTGTAAGTAGTTCAGTTAGCGTCTAGTCATAGAGTGGTTCATCTATTTTAAATGTAAATATTGCTGTTTTATGATTAGGAATTATTTTGCTTTTATTCCTTCTGATTTGTTGTCCCAACCCATCATCTGTCATTTTCCTGAATAAAGTCTGTTTCCAAGTGCATTTTTCATCATTAACCCATTCCACACCCATCAATCCCACAATGCATTGCAAATGACATCGCATTTCATTGATTTATAGACACAAGGTACGCAGCAGCAGGGGTGTGTACTGAGACTTTAGTCTCTTTCAGAAAACGTCGTGACTATACCTTTGCTTAAGTTTTGCATTAAACTAGTGTTTTTCCTAGGGAAATTTTGGAAATTTGCATTCTTGCATCCAGAACTCGTTCAAATACACCAGTCAGAACTATAGGCGATGTGAAAGTGCTTTAGAACTACATTTTTGCACAATTAAAAATGGTTTTAAGAATCACAAAACTAGTTCAACGTATATGAAGATGAGTAGATGATTTTTACATTTTGCTGCCACTGTTGGTCTTTTCATCAGTCCTTGTGTCTTTACACTCACTCCATCACTGTTTTTCAGGTCCATATTTCAGGAATGTGATGGCCAGAAAAGATTTGATCGTAGAAGTTCGTGCTTTTTGTATTAATTGGTTTCTCCATTTGGTTTGTAGAATATTGAAAATGGACGGTTTGCCAAGTACAGATACTTTGCTCATGCTAAGGTGAACGAATCAGATTTCCTGATGATCACTAAAAGGTAGGTGAATTATATAAACCCCTCATTTTGCATGGGCAATGTCACATGAGCACATTTAGATGAAGGGGCATTTCGGTTTTAACCATGCACTAGTACAGTAGCATTAAGCATGTCACGGCTGTTTTGCTTCAAACCTTTTAGGCGATGAATTTGTGTTTACATGCATCCTTACCATCGGCTTATAAAGCCTTCATGCGAACATCCGATTAAAGGGCTGGTGTATATCTTAATATTTTAGCTATGTAAACCTTTGAATGCAACTATTATTGGACTCAAAAATAGCTTGCACACATGTTGATTAACATGTAAGCATAGTTTTCAGTGAAAATGATTTTAATCAATAATGTGTGAATGTCAAAAAAATCCCTACCCCCAATTATTAAATTTAGGCACATAAAGCTTTACCATATTCCCATGTATTAAACTTATTAAAGGCTGGAATACACTACATGCTTTTTAAAATCTGATTTTAAAACACTAGGCATCATGTAAATGGTTACAGAGAAAATATACACTATATATATTATGTTATAAACATACTTTTCAAGTTGTTCTGAACACAACAGACTCGAATGAAAACAAAATGTGTTTTAAAATCGAATCAAAGTATCAAACTTGTTTGAAGGTGAAGCTGAAAATCTGTGCCGATCATACTCTACTTGATACTTTTGGCAGCTAGTGTCACTGTCGAATCATTCAGACAATAATTTGGGGCAGAAATGTGACATTTTTTCCCATATTGCACCAAATTGTGTGTCTTTTTGAGGATTACTTAAGCAAACAGTGATAAGGCAGCAAAAACAAAAAAATGCATGCAATTTCTAAGAACTACATAATTTTGCATGTAATTGGTTATATATGTGCTACAGTATTCTATCCTAGTTATTCAAGTTATGTGCTACAGTATTTACTGGCCCTTTTATTGAATTTTCAGCTTTTCAGCTGGTGTCTGTGTGATTTTGCTCTTGCAGGGGGATATTTTTTGTGACTAAGGGCACGTTCGGGCAGCTGACGTGTGAGTGGCAGTATCTGTTTGATGAGTTTACCAAAGCGCCCATGATCGTGGAGGGCAGGAGACTGCGTATAGAAGCAAAGGTACATCATCATACATAAGAGTTTTATCTGTATTTAATCTAAATCGAATGCTGGTCTTATTGTGCATGTTATTCTAAATGTTTATGTTTAGCACTTTATTTTATAGTCATGTTATATAGTATGCACTTACATTATAATAACTAGGTACTAACCCTAAACCAAACCCTAAAACTTGATTCTCCTCAAAGTTTCTCCACTTCTGAAAGGACTTTTATTTTCTAATTATGTAAGCAAAGCCATGAGGACAATAATATCATGGCCTGACATGTTTAAACCTGAGCAAGGATTTCTTTAGTTATGATGGAAAATATAATTGATCTTGATTTGATTTTCACAGGAACGAGTCAAATCGGTGTTCCATGCCAAAGAGTTTGGGAAGATCATCAATTTCAAAACTCCAGAACTAGCAAAGGTACAGGTGCACATTTTTGCTGCTGCAAACAAATAGTGGAAGTGGGTTCATGAACTGTTATCTTAACCTTTTGTAACAAGGAGCACAATGAGTGTTTAGGCAGAAATGGATTAATATATATATATAGTATTATACATTTCTATTCATAAATGGTATAAAAACAGTAAACTAAAATCTAAAAACAAACAGTCATATAAAACAATAATTAATAAAATATTCATTTAACTTGAATTAAGTTAAAAGAATCAATTCAGTATGTTGTCCACATAGTACTATTATGTAATTCATTATGTAAAACTACAATGAGTGTTTAGGCAGAAATGGTCATTTATGCACAGAAGGGGATTTCAAAGGGATAGATCACCCAAAAATGCAAATTCCTTAACCTTCAAGTCGTTCCAAACCTGTACGAGTTTCTATCTTCTTCTGAACGCAAAGGAATATATTTTGAAGAATGTTAGTAACCAAACAGTTGTTGGTCCCCATTGACTTCAATAGTATTTTATACACAGAAGGGGATTTCAAAGGGATAGATCACCCAAAAATGCTAATTCCTTAACCTTCAAGTCGTTCCAAACCTGTACGAGTTTCTATCTTCTTCTGAACGCAAAAGAATACATTTTGAAGCATGTTATTAACCAAAAAATTGCTGGTCCCCATTGACTTCCATAGTATGTAAATAAAATACTATTGAAGTCAATGGGGACCAACAACTGTTTGGTTACTAACATTCTTCAAAATATATTCCTTTGCGTTCAGAAGAAGATAGAAACTCGTACAGGTTTGGAACGACTTGCAGGTTAAGTAAATGATGATAGAATTAGCATTTTTGGGTGAATTATCCCTTTGAATGACTCAGACAGTACACAAGAGTTTAAGAGCCATATTTTATCACGAAAGATTTGTTTACCACATATATGATTGCTGTAGATAAAATATCCTGTAAAGGTTTCTAGCCATGCATTCATTTAATGACCCGTTTCTGTCGTTCTCAGTGGGTTCTTGCCAAGCTTGAGGATGCCAGGGAAACTCTGCCGAAGTAAGGACAGTTAAAGCGACATGCGATGATCCTGCGCTCAGCTGTGTGCCTTTATGCTGCTTTTGCAGTGTGCCACTTCACATTATACCCACAATGCAACAGTCATTCACTAAACACTGAATACCACATTGGTAATGACTGTTAGACTGTGTGTTTGTGTGTTCAGTTTACATTATATTGTACCTTTCTTTCCCCCCTCACTGTCTGAGCTCAATCTGTCATAATTCCTTATTTGCTTGAACACATTTACACATTAAGTTTTTACAATGTGCCTCTACATGCAGTTCAGCGACTGGAAAGACGTCTCTTAACTAAAGCCACACTAAAGTGTAAATTAAGGTGATTAAAATTAAGGTCAATTTTATACACATTAATAAAGACCAATACACTGTATGTATTTTCTTTGTCTTTACATGTGCATGTGTGTCGCATTTAAACTGAAATGACCAGGAATGTTTGAAAATGGGAATCTCTTGCTGTATGTACAGGAGAGCAGGGATTTTTTTTTTTTAAATGTGTGGCTTTGCATGAAATGATATTTTTGTTTCACAGTGTCGATTTAATTAATTCTATAGCTTGTCTCAATACTCAACAGTAAACATCCGATGGCTTCTCGACTGCTTTGTCTCTATGCAGCCGCACTGCATTACTGAAGAACTGTAACATAACAAAGCTGGGTGTTTGCAAGAAACAAATCCATCATTTAGGTGTTTTAACTTTTAAACCGTCACTTCTGGCCAAAATATGAGTCCATAATCCATAATGTTTCCTCCGGTGCAAAAGTCCATCCCTGTTGTCCTCAAACATCAAAACTGACATATTTGTTCAGAAGTGTTTTGGCTTGTAATCAGTGCTGGATCTGTGCATATTTCTCTCCTGATTCAGACGAGATGACTTTTTCACTGGAGAAAGCAATATTATGGATTATGGACTAGTTAGAAGTTAAAAATGTGTTAATGATGGATTTGCTTCTTACAAACACGCATCTTTTCGTTAACTGATGGACTGGAGAGGTGTGGATTATTGTGACGTTTTTATCAGCTGTTTGGACTCTCATTCCGACGGCACCCATTCAATGCAGAACATCCATTGCTGAGCAAGTGATGTAATGCTACATTTCTTCAAATCTGCTCTGATGAAGAAACTCGTCTACATCTTGGATTACCTGAGGATGAGCACTTTTTCATGATGAGTAACTTCTTTAACATTAATAAAGGTTATAGCAATAAAAGCAAATAGCGATAGCTCTAACATCAAGTTCCCAGTTATTGAATAAATATGACCGATCGGACTAAATGTGCATTTTTTCCACATGCAACTGCATACACTCATGCAACAGTTTTATCATATAGTTATATTCAATTGGAAATGCATCATGTTAGTGAGGGAAAACTGGGAATGTCATTACATGTTGCCTATAAAGCATGAACATTTATTGCATCGTTTTCTCTAATTATGCACATTTAATAAATGTATTTAGAATTTCGTTTGATTGTTTTATTTCAATTTGAATGAGTGTAACAACATATAGCTGTATATCCTTGTTTAATAAATATTATCAAAGCAGATACAGACATTACAGTTTAAAGGCACGTCAGGTATTCACTACAGCTTGTACCTGCTACGAAACTGAGGTCAAATAATGAAACTCGGAAATCAGTGGCTGCGTAAAATGCGAAAACTTGCCCGTGACTGAATTTTCAGTGAGAAATCAAGATTTTTTTTTAAGGAATATGCAGGTTTAAAATGATAAATATCCTTTACAATGTACAATTTGACACTGGAGCACCAGTTTAAAATGGCTAGTAAATTATTTTTACATTGAGAAATAATAATAAAATAAAAAATAGCTGAATTAAATTCTTACCTTTAAGTTCTACAAATGCATAATCGTGATTCAGGTATGCATTACAACTACATAAGGCAACTTTAGAGCATGTTTGTTAAAAAAAAACTAAAAATCCAAGTTTTTATATTAAAATGTAAACTTCTCCATCTTTTTTGCCTTTAAACGCTTCAAGGAGTCTTCAAGACTTTGATCTATTACATCAGGAAAACATTTTTTACATGTGCCTTAAAATCTCCTAAGTAGCATCCCTTGTAAACTCTATCACATAAAGAACAAAATGGCAACATCTGTTGTCGATGAAACCTACCCATCTATTAGAGGACCTAAACACGACTGAAAAGAAGATGCATCCTTGTAATGGTAGATCAAGGCTTGTTTTCAGGAAGCCAGTCCACATCTAATCCATTAGGCAGTTCTCCTAGATACTTCCTTATATAAGTCCTTAGTCAACAAGAGAACAATGTAAAGCTAATGTGAGAGCTAAATCTACTCAACAGATCAACAGAAGAGAGCAGGACCAGGTTTGTCCTCCAGGATGTTGATTTTAAACCAGGTTGAACTCTTTGAGGTTGTGTCTGAGGATGGTGTCTTTCACAGCTGCGAAGATCAAGCGGATGTTCTCCGTGTCGGTGGCACAAGTGAAGTGAGAGTAGATGGATTTGTCTTTGTCTTCGTTTTGCTCCTGGTACATCTTAAGAATAAACTCCTGGGCTGGCTTTGGATCGTTTTGGGGGCCTGGAAATGACAGTAATCAATGGGTCAATGATGTGATGTATTGAAATATTATTCATATATATATATATATATATATATATCACAGAAATTACAGAAAATGTATCACAGAGTCAATAAGTATCTTAAAATATCAGATCATTTGTTTATCGATATTTTAATTGAAATTAAATCTGGAGATGAATTAAAGCAGTTAGATTCAATATATAGAACCATGTTACAACAAGTGAAATGTAAAATGTGATTATATTATATTAAATGTAATATTCATAGCAATTTTTTATATACAGTATATATATATATATATATATATATATATATATATATATATATATATACTTTGTATATTCACATAAATATTCCTAAAATATCATTTTAATCAAATGTGACCCTGGAGCACAAAAGCAGTCTTAAGTCGCTGGGGTATATTTGTAGCAATAGCCAACAATACACTGTATGGGTCAAAATTATAGATTTTTCTTTTAAGCCAAAAAATCATTAGATCATGTTCCATGAAGATATTTTGTACATTTCCTACCGTAAATATATTAAAACTTAATTTTTGATTAGTAATATGCATTGCTAAGAACTTCATTTGGACAACTTTAAAGACGATTTTCTCAATATTTAGATTTTTTTGCACCCTCAGATTCCAAATAGCTGTATCTCAGCCAAATATTGTCCTATCCTAACAAACATACATCAATGGAAAGCTTATTTATTCTGCTTTCAGATGATGTATAAATCTCAATTTCAAAAAATTGACTCTTATGACTGGTTTTGTGCTCCATGGTCACACATATTACATATAGAGATGAATTAAACCATTTAAAATCTAATCAATATCACAAAACTTATATCACAAAGACAATAACTCAATAAATATATTTAAAAGAGCAGATTATTTGAGTTTAGTTCAGTTTAGTTATTAAAAAGTAACATTTATGAAGTAATAATTTATGATATTTGATCAATAATAATAATTATATATATACAGTGTTGGTGAAAGTTACTTTTAAAAGTAACGCATTACAATATTACGTTACTTCCTAAAAAAGTAACTAATTACGTTACTTAGTTACTTTTATTGAAAGTAATGCGATACGTTACTTTTGCGTTACTTTTTAAATCTGGGCTGGGCTTGTTTGTTTGCTTTTAATATAAAAAGTTCTATTTTTGGTAAATATAAAAGCCCTTTCACACCAAAAGCCTCAGGCTGAAGGAAATGCAAATCACGTCTGTACAGCAGAACGCAGAAGAAGAAGAAAGTTCAACTCTTCAGCAATAAAAAAAAGAAGAAGAAATGTTAGTTTATCTTGTGCAATTTTTGCTTATTAGTGTAGTTGAATTTGATCATCGAAGGTCAGCAGCAAATTGGTTAATAAAATGGGATTAAATACAAAAAGGATATTTGTATTATTTAACATATTTAATTATTGCAGCTTTGCGTCATATTCCGAGTTGCTTTTAACCGTCATTATTAATTGAGGAAAACTAAATCTGTTTTTTTTGTGTGAGTGAGATGAATTAATGCATGTTCACATTTATTCTAGATCTACAGTAACATCTTCTGATTTCTCTCAACGTGGGCACATGAGAGCTTACAATCAATAAATTGAAGAAAAAAAAAACTGCCGTTACTTATTTGAAAAAGTAACTCAGATATTTTCTTGCAAATTAAAAAGTAGTGCGTTACTTTACTAGTTACTTGAAAAAAGTAATCTGATTACGTAACTTGTAATGCGTTACCCCCAACACTTATATACATATATATTTAAAAACGTTTTTGTAAAACGGTGTACACACACATGCAATCAAAGTGTAAGAAAAATATGTTGCTAATTTTTTACTTGATGGTTACTCCACTTTAAAATGGTATTAAAAATGTTGAAAACCACATTTTAAAGAATGTATATGTTTTCAAATCATTTTAATCAAATGTGACCCTGGAGCACAAAAGCAGTCTTAAGTCGCTGGGGTATATTTGTAGCAATAGCCAACAATACACTGTATGGGTCAAAATTATAGATTTTTCTTTTAAGCCAAAAAATCATTAGATCATGTTCCATGAAGATATTTTGTACATTTCCTACCGTAAATATATTAAAACTTAATTTTTGATTAGTAATATGCATTGCTAAGAACTTCATTTGGACAACTTTAAAGACGATTTTCTCAATATTTAGATTTTTTTGCACCCTCAGATTCCAAATAGCTGTATCTCAGCCAAATATTGTCCTATCCTAACAAACATACATCAATGGAAAGCTTATTTATTCTGCTTTCAGATGATGTATAAATCTCAATTTCAAAAAATTGACTCTTATGACTGGTTTTGTGCTCCATGGTCACACATATTACATATAGAGATGAATTAAACCATTTAAAATCTAATCAATATCACAAAACTTATATCACAAAGACAATAACTCAATAAATATATTTAAAAGAGCAGATTATTTGAGTTTAGTTCAGTTTAGTTATTAAAAAGTAACATTTATGAAGTAATAATTTATGATATTTGATCAATAATAATAATTATATATATACAGTGTTGGTGAAAGTTACTTTTAAAAGTAACGCATTACAATATTACGTTACTTCCTAAAAAAGTAACTAATTACGTTACTTAGTTACTTTTATTGAAAGTAATGCGATACGTTACTTTTGCGTTACTTTTTAAATCTGGGCTGGGCTTGTTTGTTTGCTTTTAATATAAAAAGTTCTATTTTTGGTAAATATAAAAGCCCTTTCACACCAAAAGCCTCAGGCTGAAGGAAATGCAAATCACGTCTGTACAGCAGAACGCAGAAGAAGAAGAAAGTTCAACTCTTCAGCAATAAAAAAAAGAAGAAGAAATGTTAGTTTATCTTGTGCAATTTTTGCTTATTAGTGTAGTTGAATTTGATCATCGAAGGTCAGCAGCAAATTGGTTAATAAAATGGGATTAAATACAAAAAGGATATTTGTATTATTTAACATATTTAATTATTGCAGCTTTGCGTCATATTCCGAGTTGCTTTTAACCGTCATTATTAATTGAGGAAAACTAAATCTGTTTTTTTTGTGTGAGTGAGATGAATTAATGCATGTTCACATTTATTCTAGATCTACAGTAACATCTTCTGATTTCTCTCAACGTGGGCACATGAGAGCTTACAATCAATAAATTGAAGAAA